TTTTTTAATATAGCATTTATCAAAAACTTGATTTTCTGTAGGGGTTAACCCACAAATTTCGATAAAAATTAGAAAATATGAAAATTTTGTCTTAATGCATATTTCCATCATTCACTGACATAGTATGAAGGTTAAAGAGGTTTGAGACCTTAGGTGTTCATGTTTTTTCAGAAAATAGAATTTTCTTTGTTGGGAGTGTGTCCATTGATTAAGTGGTATATGAAATTTAAATAGATTACCTGTTGGAAAATTTGAAATGATGTACATGTACCATGAAAATAATTTTAACATACACTAATACAAATTTAGAATGGGATTGGGTAATTTTCATCAAAAATAAAGAGCCTAAACTTCTTAATATAGCATTTATCGAAAAATTAGATTTTCTATAGGGGTTAACCCACATATTTTGAGAAAAATTAGAAAATATGAAAATTTTGTTTTCATGCATATTTGCATCATTCACTGACATAGTATGAAGGTCAAAGAGGTTTGAGAGCTTAGGTGTTCATGTTTCTCCATAAAATTGAATTTCATTTATAGGGGGTTTGTACACTTATTAAGTGGTATACGAAATTTTAAATAAATTACATGTTGAAAATTTTGAAATGATGTCCATCTACTATGAAAAACTACTAACATACATTAATACAAATTTAGTATGTGATTAGGTAGTTTTCACCAAAAATAAAGAGCCAACATTTTTTAATATAGCATTTATCAAAAAACTTGATTTTCTGTTGGGGTTAACCCACAAATTTCGATAAAAATTAGAAATTATGAAAATTTTGTATTAATGCATATTTTCATCATTCACTGACATAGTATGAAGGTTAAAAAGGTTTGAGACCTTAGGTGTTCATGTTTCGTCAGAAAATAGAATTTTTTTCTTTGTTGGGTATATGAAATTTAAATAGATTACCTGTTGGAAAATTTGAAATGATGTCCATGTACCATGAAAATAATTTTAACATACACTAATACAAATTTAGAATGTGATTGGGTAATTTTCATCAAAAATAAAGAGACTAAACTTCTTAATATAGCATTTATCGANCAGAAAATAGAATTTTTTTCTTTGTTGGGTATATGAAATTTAAATAGATTACCTGTTGGAAAATTTGAAATGATGTCCATGTACCATGAAAATAATTTTAACATACACTAATACAAATTTAGAATGTGATTGGGTAATTTTCATCAAAAATAAAGAGACTAAACTTCTTAATATAGCATTTATCGAAAAACTCGATTTTTTATAGGGGTTAACCCACATATTTTGAGAAAAATTAGAAAATATGAAAATATTGTTTTAATGCATATTTTCATAATTCACTGACATAGTATGAAGGTTAAAGAGGTTTGATACCTTAGGTGTTCATGTTTCTTTAGGAAGTATAATTCATCAAAAATAAAGAGCCTAAACTTCTTAATATAGCATTTATCGAAAAACTAGATTTTCTATAGGGGTTAACCCACATATTTTGAGAAAAATTAGAAAATATGAAAATTTTGTTTTAATGCATATTTGCATCATTCACTGACATAGTATGAAGGTTAAAGAGGTTTGAGACCTTAGGTGTTCATGTTTCTCCTTAAAATTGAATTTCATTTATAGGGGGTTTGTACACGGATTAAGTGGTATACGAAATTTAAATAAATTACATGTTGAAAAATTTGAAATGATGTCCATCTACTATGAAAAAATACTAACATACATTAATACAAATTTAGTATGTGATTAGGTAGTTTTCATCAAAAATAAAGAGCCAACATTTTTTAATACAGCATTTATCAAAAAACTTTATTTTCTGTTGGGATTAACCCACAAATTTCGATAAAAATTAGAAATTATGAAAATTTTGTATTAATGCATATTTCCATCATTCACTGACATAGTACGAAGGTTAAAGAGGTTTGAGACCTTAGGTGTTCATGTTTCGTCAGAAAATAGAATTTTTTCTTTGTTGGGTATATGAAATTTAAATAGATTACCTGTTGGAAAATTTGAAATGATGTCCATGTAACATGAAAATAATTTTAACATACACTAATACAAATTTAGAATGTGATTGGGTAATTTTCATCAAAAATAAAGAGACTAAACTTCTTAATATAGCATTTATCGAAAAACTCGATTTTCTATAGGGGTTAACCCACATATTTTGAGAAAAATTAGAAAATATGAAAATATTGTTTTAATGCATATTTTCATAATTCACTGACATAGTATGAAGGTTAAAGAGGTTTGAGACCTTAGGTGTTCATGTTTCTTTAGGAAGTATAATTTTCTTTGTTGGGAGTTTGTCCATTGATTAAGTGGTATATGAAATTTAAATAGATTACATGTTCGAAAATTTGAAATGATGTCCATATACCATGAAAATATTTTTAACATACAGTAATAAAAATTTAGAATGTGATTGGGTAATTTTCATCAAAACTAAAGAGCCTAGACTTCTTAATATAGCTTTTATCGAAAAACTCGATTTTCTATAGGGGTTAACCCACATATTTTGAGAAACATTAGAAAATATGAAAATTTTGTATTAATGCATATTACCATCATTCACTGACATAGTATGAAGGTTAAAGAGGTTTGAGACCTTAGGTGTTCATGTTTCTTCAGAAAATAGATTTTTCTTTGTTGGGAGTTTGTCCATTGATGAAGTGCTATATGAAATTTAAATAGATTACCTTTTAGAAAATTTGAAATGATTTCCATGTACCATGAAAATAATTTTAACATACACTAATACAAATTTAGAATGTGATTGGGTAATTTTCATCAAAAATAAAGAGCCTAAAATTCTTAATATAACATTTATCGAAAAAATCAATTTTCTATAGGGGTTAACCCACATATTTTGAGAAAAATTAGAAAATATTAAAATTTTGTTTTACTGCATATTTGCATCATTCACTGACATAGTATGAATGATGGCGCTAATCGGTACAGAACTCGTGAAACCAGTGGCGTCTTTCGTTCCATTTCAATCGCCAAAGCGTCTTCTATGCTTTGTGATGACCCTTCCAAAGATCATAAATATATCTTTATACTCTGTAACTGAAAGGTTCCGCAGTTAGTGCTATCCATCGTCCTTCACCATCAAAATGGCCTTAAATATCCATATGATCTTACATCTAAGAATTCCTCAACATGTAGAAATGGCGGCTATGAAAATTTCCTATGCTCCAGAAATACAAACAATCCAATGCTACTCGGTGTCGTGATAGCCAATGCATCCTAAGAATAACATCGCAGAAGCTCAACTCTTAGAAGTCTTCAAATAAATTAATCACTCCACCATATCTGGTACATCTCGATGAATATAAGTAGCTCCAAACGTCTATATGCCAGTTGTCCAAACTGACACATCTCTGAAACGATCAACACAATCAAGAACTAGCAAACAAAGCCAAGTGAAGCTCTAATATCAACACAATGCGAGTTGATGCACCCCAAATTCAAAAGCGATCCCCACGAGTTTACAACCCAGACATACCTCCACATAATCCATATACTCATACACAACATAACACATGCCAACCAATGGCCTATAACTCATATCACATATCACATACACTCCAGAAACAAAACTCGTGAAGCGATAGCTTGAATGTGGATGGCAGATTCGTCACATGTCCACTCGCAGATAATCTCTGAACACGACCGACGAAACCGATAAACGCCTCAGCAATCTGACAAACTCTGACATCATCCATCCGTAACCTGAACCTCTGGCTGGAAACCTGTTAGCTTAAGAACGGATGACGATGATTTTACTCATCGACATAAAAGACAATTAGATTAGAATTTACTAAACGAAGAGGTGCTAGTTGTCTTTATTTTAAAAATTCCCAAGTCCCCAAAAATCATTTTAGAAATCATTAAAAATAGATAAAAACCGATAAAAAAACGAGTCCTCACTGATCGCCCTCCCGGGTCGGAGCCGGGACGGAACCCGCTCTGATACCAAATTGTAACACCCGCATTTTCCAAAATAATAAATAAATAAAAATGTCTGAAATCTCCATATATGGATATATATCATATGTTGCGTCGCTAGTACAGTATGTCTTTGTACCCCCGCCCTCTAAATCTGCGTCGAATGCAAACATCTCTGCACTGCGCACCACACAGTTGCGTCGCTAGCCTAGACGTCTCTGAGCCCCCACCCTCCAAAGTTGCGTCGATAGTCCAGGCATACCTGAACCCCCGCCCTCCCAGATAGTCCCTACTCATAACTATGTATGTACATATATATATATATATATATATTTATCATCTCTTAATCCGCTAAATCTTGTTCCTCTCTGCAAGACCAAACACAAAGCTGAGCACCAACACCAACACAAACACTAAGATAAGTCTTCAGAGTCAGAGAAGAGTATACTTGATCAAGTAACATGATACCAAACTCTTCACAAGCTCGTTGGATCCATCCACCAGCTTCACTAGGCCTTGAACTCTTCAATACCTTCTCCTCCTTCCCAACTCTTAATCAATTTTAGATTGACATCAGCTTCACAATCACATCATAGAAAGATAAAAGCTTCAATGTTTAACCACTTCTCTGTTACATGCTCTGTTTCAGCCATGGAAGTGATTCCTCGATAAAGTCTCCGGAAAAGATAGAAACTGATTACACCAGACGATATTGATGGAGGAGAAGACAGAGAGAGTACAAAAGCTTACAACTTTGGAAGAATCGGAGTCACGAGCGCGTGAGTCGCCAACATCTCCGTTTTGCTCTGCTACTCTGTTTTTTCTGTAAAGTATTTATTTCAAAATTAATATCCCAAAATCATCTTCATCGAAATGGGGTTCGGAGATGATGTTAATCGAGCAGAGAAGATAGAGAGAGAGTACAAAAGGAGTCAGCTTTGGAATCAGAGTCACAAGCGCGTGAGCCGCCAACAACTCTGTTTCACTACTCTGTTTTTGTTTTGTAAAGTCTTTATTTTTATTTTATTTCCTAAAATCATTTTCATCAACAATGGCGTCTTCACTCATCAGGACCCTCTCTCGTACCTTAAGAACCGTAACCGCCTCCCGGTTTATGAGCAACGTACCGGAAAACACAGTTTACGGAGGCCCCAAACCGCAAAACCCGAACCAGAGAGTGACTCTGACTCAGCTAAAACAGAAACATCGCAAAGGCGAGGCCATAACCGTCGTCACCGCTTACGACTACCCTTCTGCGGTTCACGTCGACACAGCAGGAATCGATGTTTGTCTCGTCGGAGACTCAGCTTCAATGGTTGTCCATGGCCACGACACCACTCTTCCCATCTCCTTAGATGAGATGCTTGTTCACTGTCGTGCCGTTGCTCGAGGAGCCAAAAGACCACTTCTTGTCGGTGATTTGCCGTTTGGTAGTTACGAGTCCAACACCGTTCAGGTTTGAAGAAACAACCATTTTCATTACATGATCTCCTTTTGAGACTTTGTGTGTTTGGTTTGGTTTGGTTTGGTTTGGTTTGGTTTGGTTTGGTTTAAGTTTTGGTTTTTAATGATGTCTTTTAGGGGGTTGATAGTGCGGTTAGAGTGTTGAAAGAAGGAGGCATGGATGCTATTAAGCTTGAAGGAGGGTCAACTTCAAGGATCACAGCTGCAAGATCCATTGTGGAAGCAGGGATTGCGGTTATGGGACATGTTGGCTTGACTCCTCAAGCTATTAGTGTTCTTGGTGGTTTCAGACCACAAGGGAGGAACATAGCTAGTGCTGTTAAGGTCTGAAAACTAAGAGTTCTTGATAAGGTTGTTGTTTAAAAGATGTGATGAAAATGAATGTTTCTTTCTTTGTGGGATTAGGTTGTGGAAACTGCAATGGCTTTGCAAGAAGCTGGATGTTTTGCGGTTGTGTTAGAATGTGTTCCACCTCCTGTGGCTGCGGCTGCTACCTCTGCTCTTCATATTCCAACCATTGGCATAGGAGCTGGCCCTTTCTGCAGTGGACAGGTTCAGTTTTTACATTGGTCTTTTGGTTTTGTGTGCTTAAATGGTTTGAATGAATAAACCATTTCTCAAATTTTGAGCTTCTTAGCATGATTAAAGAGTAAAGTCAGCATAAAAAGGGTGAGTTGTCTACTACTATATGATTAGATATGTCATATTTTTCTTATGGCTGCAGGTTTTAGTCTACCATGATCTTCTAGGAATGATGCAACATCCACATCATGCTAAGGTACCAATTAACCATCACCATACTTCATCCTGTTGTGATGATTTAATTTATGATACTTTCCTTTCATTTCAGGTTACTCCAAAGTTTTGCAAGCAGTACGCTCAAGTAGGAGAAGTGATCAACAAAGCACTCTTGGAATATAAGGAAGAAGTATCCAAACACTCGTTTCCAGGTCCTTCTCACAGCCCTTACAAGATCTCCTCTGACGACCTGGATGGATTCTTAAGCGAGTTACAGAAACTGGGGTTAGATGAGGCTGCTTCTGCTGCAGCAGCATCAGCTGAGAAGATAGAGTCCTCAGCTTCAATCTCTTATCAGTGACAAAAGATGTAGAAAATCTCTTCATTTTGAGTAGACAGACATGGTTGAAGAATTAATAGTCCTATAATAAGGTTTGATAGGAGTTTTTCCGGATAGAATTTGATGTGATCCATAAGAGTTATTTCAGAGTTTTTCAGTTCAGGTTAGTATCAACGTTTAAGAAAATTTAGGTGATATTTTATGAATAAAATAAAAATTTGTCCTCGTTGTGTGATATTGGGCCTCGTTAAAGCCCATTACAATCGTGGCTGATATATTGCTTTCTAGGCTTTTGAACGTGGAGGAAACTATTGGACTGGCTTCAAGGTTTAGCTCTCATGGCACTTCCCCAAACTGTTTTTGGTTGAGTAGGTAGATAACTAGTCTATGCAAAACATGATCGTTCAAATGAAGCTTGGAATCTGATGAAGAACAAGGCCTCATTTTCAATGCGCATTTGACATTCTTAGGACGAAATATAGAAGATTAGTAGAATGAACATAGTTAGTTGTAGAGGTGGATGAGATGGAACTTTGGCCTGATGTAGCGATCTAGGGATTCTTGTTAACACCTTGTGCAAATTAAGAAGGGTCGGTGAAGCTCTTCAAAGGACCGTTTGAGATGGCTAAAGTTTTTTTTATTGATTGTTGGTTTACAACATGTTTATTGGGTACATAGGAAAGAAAAAGTTTATGAGAGGCTAACCGATTTGGATGACGAAAATCTATTATATACATCTCTAACTTGGTCATTCTTTGTTATAGTTATGCCATTCTTTAAAAGAAAAATAAAAAAATCTTGTATATAAAACTATTATAAATTACAAATTATATAAAATTGTACTAATATGTTATCCGCATTGAATTTCAACTAACTTACACATAATTTGAATGATACTCCGAGTACACCACATGAAAATGAATTCTAGAGCTTAATTAAAAATTTTATATATCATATTTTATATAGATAATTCATACAAAAAATAAAATCGTCCAACTAACATATTAAGTGACTGGACATTATGGCGTTGAGTTGGTTATTGAATCAATAAGACTAGTCAAATTCTCACCTAAGTAATCATGATAAACCCAAAACCTCAAGAATAATCAAAACAAACGGTCAAATGAATGAAGGTTCGAAGGTTTGAAGGTTTGAATTTTTATTTTATTTTAAAAAGCCAAAGTTTCATAACTTAAATAAATATTTATTGCAATACTAAAATAGTGCAGCTGAGCTAGTCTTAGATTCATATATTTGTGGACAGAGTGAGCGATAACTCCAATTCAAGGATCCCGATTTAACCACCACTACATGTCAGAAAATATACAAAATGATTGCATTTAGTTCTTATAAATAAATAGCCAATGGAAATTAAAATATGTGATGTTCTAATACTACATTTTTAACCGTAATTACTAAATCTTCCCATTTCATATAAATTTTCAGCTTCAAACTTGTCAAATTCTTATATTTTACTTATTTTTTGGTGAACCAAATGAACAGTTCTTGTACAAACAGAATTTCAAAATATCATGAAATGATCTATTAATAATTTGAATTTAAAAACGTTGTGTCTTTACAATATATCTATAAATCTCAAATCATTGTAGAATTATATATGATTTACAGTTTTACTTTAGATTGAGCTTCGATAAGCATTTTTTATAAAAAAATGGTTGAGATAAAGTATCTATCTTACGGAGAAATCAAATCACTATAAATCTTACAGTGAGCATTTCACAATTATGATGATTCAATGTTGATGAATTGAAAATATGCATAAATACTACATAACTTCTCCGATCAAGAAAACTTGCATTTGTGGATCGTTTAGCTTCTGATAGTTATCTTCCATCTCGAATAGTCAGTGATTTTATTAAATTACAAACCTAGTTTATGTAATGATTTCTTGTTCGATTTAAATAATAAAAGCTGGGAAAGGTCATAGTGTTTTGTTTTGTAATTTTGTAGTTTTGAAATGTTAAATAGACAAATCGATATATTAGGTCCATTTAAACGGGCTATTTGAAACCCATTTAAGACTTCTGGACCCAATGTTAGCTGTACATGAGCTCGATGATATTTGAGTGAGACCCGCACGTGTTTCGTATTGAATTATGCAACAGCTAATGGAGAGTGGAGACTAGCGAATCTAAAAGCAGACATTTTGACTCGTTTTTTCACAAACGACTAGAAGAAGTCAAAGCTGCCATTTGTTCAACGATTTGGTTATGTATATTTTAATCGTTATTAAATAAAAGACTATTTGATTTTAAGATATTTGGTAAACTAGGTGCATAGGCTCATTGACCCTACGATCTTCACGCTAAACTTTGATTACATGTACATAGGTGCATAGGTACACACCCTAGCCTCTAGCCTCTTGCCTCTTGGAAATAATCTATTAATTTATTAAATAACCTTTTTGACCATATCATATAGATATACTCCTTTACTGCAACTTACTTCTAGATGTGACCAGTTATTATGTTTCAAGGAACTAATAATGTTTATAAACCAAAGAAGATTATGATATTTATCCCAGCAATGTCAAATTGCATATAAGACTGAGGTATTTTCCTTAAGACTATTAATACGTGAAAATTCAATTCCATGGTCAGAAAGAAATATATACACCTTTGCATTTTCTACGTTGAATTGAATTTTCCATCTCAAAAAAACATTGTATCTTATATATGAATACGTAATTTAAGCATGCTGGACCAATTTTAAGCCAATTGAGAAGAATAAAAACTAGATAAAGTATGAAGATAAATAGGTCAGTAAATTCTTACAAAATCTTAAATAAAGGGCTTCCATGCACTTGTATTAATTTTCAATATTATTTGGTCCATGGTTTTATCATGTTGTATACTGTGACTGGGCAGGATAGTACAACAATATTGGAACTTTTAAATTTCTTCTTGGATCCGTAACAATAACAAATAATAATAAATAGCATAGTAATAAGATATAAAAGGAGAACAAGGGTTGATTCGCTTGTTAACTCTTTGACAACTCCAATTTTCGTATATTCTTATATATACTAAAGATAACACAAAGTCACAAAATACCCTATATGTAGAGATTTAGGTTTAGTTTTACTTGGGATTCAAGTTACTCTTGTGATCTAGATATAAAACTGAAAGTAAATGACACAATCAATTTAACGAGTTCCCGGCCTCAAACCGGTACGTCTCGTGGGAGAACTGCTGCTCCCCAAAATCCACTAGATCAAAAAAGACACTAGCAACACCAAATTAGTGTGTTAGATAGATGNGCCTCTTGCTTATTACTGATTGACTTGATTCTTGTTGCCGTAAACAATAGACTAATCTGTATTATGCTTAACCTAATCACACACCATGTCTTCCTTTATATATTGACGAGGTTGGAGGCTAGAACGGGCTTGAGCATCTTCTTGGCCCAAGTGAGGTATGTATATGGCCCATCCTTCTTGCATAAGCCCAAACTCTACAAAACTCCACCAGTTTGGCTTAAAGCCCACACGCCTGGCCCATTCTTCTTGCCGACAAAACATAACTCTTTGTCTCCTTGTCATTTTCGTGGATCTGAAAAAGATAAGTCATTCTCTTTGACTCTCTCTCTCTCTTGGTCTCTGTTTCTCTTCCTCGCGAATCTTCGCCGCCGTGAGGCCTTGAAGTTCCGATGAAAGGATCCGGTCAGTCGTGTCGCGTTGACACCTCTACGCATCTCTTCTCTTCTCCAGGTACTTCCATTCTCTCCGATCTCAAGAGATTGGGATCATCTGAAAAGAAATTAGAGAGTCTTGTACTGACCTTGTCTTCTTTTCTCTTGCATGTCTTCTCCGGTGATTACACACCTCCTCTGACATAACTTGAGCTCCGATTTGAGCTCCCTTCACACGCTCCACCTCAACCTTAATCCGAAAGGTAAAGATCTCCTTTAAAACTTTCTGCATGTCTCAGATTCTTTCCGATCTAACCCTTACAGCGTTTCCAGGGTTCGATCTTACAGCTTAGTCTTGAGTTCGGGACTGAGATCTGAGACTCCGTCTCAAGATCGATCTAATCCCCATGAGCTGACAAACATGCTTCAGTCCTCTTCAGATAAGTCTTCTTAGAAGCCCCTTACTTGATGTTATAACTGTTCTCGAGTTTAGTTACTAACCAGTGTTGCTTCTTTTACTTATCGCAGATGAAATCGTGTAGCGGTCTCTTACTATCTGGGAATGTCTGGTGGCTCCTGGACGTCTCCACCTAAACCGAGTACCCTCTCGGTCCTTGTAATACCCCAGGTGATTCTTTCTTTCAAGACACTCCCTGTTGATATCTCTGTATTATTCCAACATAAAACACTGACCTCTGATCTTGTTACTTTTGTTTTGCGAGGAATAGCTACATCAACGGGAATCACCTGGAGCTCTCTGTACCTGTTAGTGAATGTTCAAAAGCTCACAGCAAAGCTGGAACTTCTGACCAGGTACCGTCTTTGTTAAAAAATCCGCAGGATTGACACTAGTATGAATCTTGTTTAGAGTAACATCGCCTGCTTCAACTAGGTCTCGAATGAAATGGAACTTGGTGTCTATGTGTTTTGTTCTTTCGTGATGTACTGGATTTCTTGCTAGAGCTAGGGCACTCTGAGAATCACAATGTAGTTTAACACTGTCTTGTTTGAAACCCAATTCTGAACATAGAACCTTTAACCAAACTGCTTCTTTAGCTGCTTCACACATTGCCATATATTCTGCTTCTGTCGTAGATAACGCAACTACTGATTGTAGACATGACTTCCAAGATATAGTATTGCCTCCAATCTGAAATGTATACCCTGTAACTGAGCGTCTTCTGTCCATGTCTGTAGCATAATCTGAGTCTGAATAGCCTTCTAAGTTAAACGTAGACTGCTTCTTGAATGTTAAATTAGTATCAACTGCTCCCTTAAGATACCTTAGAACCCACTTTACTGCTGACCAGTGGGCTCTTCCTGGTTTACTCATGAAACGGCTGATATAACCAACAGCAAATGCTAAATCTGGTCTTGAACCAACCATAGCGTACATAAGACTTCCCACGGCACTTGCGTAGGGAATTCTTTCCATATGTGCTGCCTTTTCTTTCCATTCTTTTCTGTTAGACTCTTAAGTTTGTACTGTGGCGATGTTGGGGTGGTAACCGC